TTGGCTCAGAATCCCACCGTCCTCAGCGCACTCTTGCCAAGGACCGGGGGAAACGTCACTCCACCTCCTCATCCCCAACCCCTGGCTGACCAGAGACAACAATGAGGGGGTTGTGGCCCAGGACACGGCGTCGTCCCACTCCCACCCTGCTTCCCCTCTTCGGCCCGGGCAGACCCCAGCGCGTGGAAAAGCCTCTGCCTTCAATAGGCTAGGTGACACGCGCCGTCGTCCGGTTTCGGAGAGGATGGCAGGATGGATTGGTGATCCTCGTCCTGGCTCGCCAAGGGAGAGTTTGGGGTCTGTGTCCCGGACAGCGGACCAGCCCCGCCCGGACAAGGGCAAGGGGAAGTTGCACGAGGATGACGTGCGTCACCAGATCAACGCGGCTCACAACGAGCGCCGGAGGAACCAGCCGGGTGCCGTCGCGGCCGACGGGGACCCCCGGGACGAGGTCATCGCCCAGCTGGAAAGAAGGTTGGCTCAGATGGAGGCCAAGCAGTCGGCCAACGTCCCTACGGCCGGCGCCTCCAACGACCCCGGCCTCAACGCGCTCATGAACAAAGTCAGCGCCCTGGAGAGGGAGCTGGCCGAAGGTCGGGGTGACCCCATCATCCAGGTCAGGATAAGGACCCCTTTCACCAACAGGGTCCTCTCGGCCCCCATCCCTGAGAAGTACAGGGGAAATGCCATCAAGTCCTACGATGGCCGATCAGACCCCCAGGAGCACTTCAGCCGTTATCAAAACAACATGCTGATGGTGAACGCGTCCGACGAATACCTCTGCCGTTGGTTCCTCTCTACTCTCGAGGGGCCAGCGTACGAGTGGTTCAACGGGCTGCCTGAGGGAAGCATTGACTCATGGCAAGATCTCGCCCAGCGCTTCCTCACTCACTTTGCCGGGAGGAAGCGCGCCAAGAAGTATTTCACCCACCTCCTCTCCGTCAAACAGCAGCACGAGGAGTCCCTCCGGTCATTCATCGACCGGTGGACGAGGGAGACCGAGGAGGTCGAGGGGGCCGATGAGCGCACCCTCCTCGCCTTGTACCAGGGAGCCCTCCGCAGCTCCCCGTACGCCAGGAGCCTCATCACTGACCCCCCGAGGTCGTACGCCAAGGCGCTCCAACGCGGAGGCTTGTATGCCGACGCCGACGAGCTCCACAATCACAAGAGAGAGGGGGGACATCCCCCCAAGAAGACAAATCCTTCGCCGACCTCGGGCCCGTCCCCGGCCGGCCAGGGTGCCCAGGGCCGCCACGGCTCTGGTGGACAAAGTAAGAAAGACCGCCACTGGCGGCCGAGGATGGAACGGCCGGGGGTAGCCCTCACCCACCCGGTCGACACCATCCTCGATTATGCCGAAAAGCACGGCCTCATCGAGCAGGCTCCTCGGCCGGCCGGGGAGGTCCTGGCCATCCAACAGGGCGGCACGTATTGCCGGTTCCACAAGAACTCGTCGCACAACACCGACGATTGCATCACATTAAAGAAGGCCATCGAGCGTCTTATTCGCCAGGGGGAACTCTCCCAGTTTGTCAAAGGTGGCCCACGTAAAAACACTTGGGTAAACACCGGCAAACGTGGGGGCGAACCCTCTGCGAAGAAGCGCGAGATTGGTAGACTCAGCGACGACGAGGACTTCGAGGAGCCTCCGCCGAAGAAGAATCACATCCACCTCATCGTGGGCGGGAACACTGGGGGGGACTCCGCCACTCAGAGGAAGAAATGGGCCCAATCCCTTTACATTGGAGAGGTGTCCCACGTTCCCCCCCAGCCGAAGAAGCAGCGAACGGAGGCGATCACCTTCACCAACAAGGATCTGCCTCCGGGTACGGAGTCACACAGGGACGCCCTCGTCATCCGATGTGAGATCGGTGACTCCATCATCCACCGCACTTACATCGATACGGGGAGCTCCGTCAACGTGATGTACCTAGACACCTTCAAGCAGCTGAAGCTGGACAGAGCTCTGCTGAAGCCGATCAAGACCCCGTTATCCGGCTTCACCGGGGACTCTATCGACGCTGAGGGCACGATAGTCCTCCCCGTGGAAGTCGGTGACGGCCCCCACCATGCCAAAATTGACATGGAGTTCATGGTGGTCAACCTCCAGTGCGCCCATAACTTGATCTTGGGTCGGCCAGCGCTGGAGGACTTGGAGGCCATCATCTCCATGAAGCACCTATGCTTGAAGTTCCCCACCAGCGACGGCATCGGCTACGCCAGAGGAAATCAGAGGATAGCCAGAGCTTGCTACCTCAAGCTGACGAGGCCGGCCGAAAGGGAGGGACAGCGGATAGATACCATCACGGCCGCCGCCGCCATGGACGAGGAGAGGCCACATGCGGAGCCAGCCGAGGAGGTCGAGGAAATCCCTCTGGATACCTCCCGGCCGGAGCGGGTTCTCAGGGTCAGAAAGCAACTCCCCCAGGACCAGCGAGACGCCATCCTCCTCGTCCTACGGTCATACGCCGTTTTCTTCGCGTGGGGCCCGGACGATATGCCAGGCATCAGCCGCCAGGTGATCACTCACCGGCTGACCATCGATCCGGCCTCCGCGCCCGTCAAACAGAAGCGGCGCTACTTGTCCGCTGACAGGCGGGACTTCGTCAAAGGGGAGGTCGCCATGCTCCTATCAATCAGACATATCAAAGAGGTGAAGTACCCAACATGGTTGGCCAACGTCGTCCTCGCACAGAAGCCGCCGACGTTCAGAATGTGTGTTGACTACACTGACCTGAACAAGGCGTGCCCCATGGACCCGTTCCCTCTCCCCAACATCGATCAGCTGATGGACGAGACGGCGGGGTGCGAGTTGATGTCGTTCCTCGACGCTTTCAGAGGGTACCACCAGATCTCCATGCATGAAGGGGACGCCGAGAAGACGGCATTCATGACCCCAGAGGGAATCTTTTGCTACCTCGTCATGGCCTTCGGACTCAAAAACTCCGGCGCCACCTACACTAGGATGGTGGCCAAGATCTTCAGGGCGGTCCTTGGCCGGACGATGGAGGCGTACGTCGACGACATGATCGTCAAGAGCAGGCAGGACACCTCCCACGCCGACGACCTCCGGGAAATCTTTGAGATAATGAAGGAATTCAGGCTCCGCCTCAACCCCAAGAAATGCGCCTTCGGCGTCCAGGGTGGCAAGTTCCTCGGCTACATGGTCAGCCGGAGAGGCATCGAGATAAACCCGGAAAAGACGCAGGCCATCATCAACATGGAGCCGCCCCGCAACGTCAAGGAGGTACAACGACTGACGGGGCGCCTGGCGGCCTTGAACCGTTTCCTCTCCAGGTCAGCTGAGAGGGCACTCCCCTTCTTCCAGATCATGCGCAAGGCAACCAGCTTCAGGTGGACGACGGAGTGCCAGGAAGCATTCGACGAATTGAAGAGGTACCTGTCGTCCCCACCCATACTCTCCAAGCCCAAAGCCGGCGAAACCCTCTTCCTGTACTTAGGGGTGAGCACGTCGGCCATCAGCTCCGTGCTCATCCGTGAGGACGAAGGGGTGCAGAAGGCCATCTTCTACATCAGCAAGACACTTAGGGAGGCCGAGCTCAGGTACTCCCCCATTGAGAAGACTGTACTGGCCATCGTCCACACCGTGAAGAAGCTGGGGCACTATTTCCAAGCCCACATCGTCCAAGTGCTGACCCAGCAGCCTCTCGGCGCGCTCATGAGGAGCCCCACTAGCTCCTCGAGGATGGTGAAGTGGGCGATCTTCCTCAGTCAGTTTCAAATTGAGATCAAGCCAAGGCCATCTATCAAAGGGCAAGCCTTGGCCGACTTCGTCATCGAATGCACAGCAAGGGAGACGGCAGTCGCCAACCCCGGGCCGGAGCCGGACGACACGTGGACCCTGTTCACTGACGGCTCGTCGGCCGCGAAATCATGCGGCGGCGGCGTCGTCCTCATATCCCCTGAAGGATTCAGAGCCTACTATGCCATCCGCTTCAACTTCAGGGTGTCCAACAACGAAGCCGAGTATGAGGCCCTCCTCAGCGGTCTCAGACTCGCCGCCGGCCTCAAGGCCAAGCACCTCAGAATCAAGTGCGATTCCAAACTAGTAGTGGGCCAGGTGGAGGGATCGTACGAAGCAAAGGAAGGCCGAATGAGGCAGTACAAACAAGCGACGGAGGAATTGCTGAAAGCGTTTGAAACCCATGAGATCACTCAGATCCCAAGGGCCGAGAACGCCGAAGCCGACATCCTCTCCAAGCTCAGCTCGGACACCCCGGAGCACATCTCCCAGTTGGCCAAGATCGAGGAGTTGAGCATGTCCAGTATCCATGCCAGCCCCGTCTTGTGCGTCCACCAGCGACCAGAGGACTGGATCTCCGACATAGCCACCTTCATCACAACGGGGGAGTTGCCCCCGAACGAGGAGAGGGCCAAACTCGCCAAACTCAGGGCCCCAAGCTACACCATCGAAGATGGCAAACTCTACAAACGGTCCTATAATGGCACTCTCCTACGGTGCCTGCACCAGGACGAGGCCGACACAGCCATGGAAGAAGTACATTGCGGCGTCTGCTCCTCGCACCAGGGCCCTTTCAGCATGTCCCGGCGTCTCGTCGTCCAGGGCTTTTTCTGGCCGACGATGGCACGTGACTGCGCTGACCTGGCCAGGAAATGCACCACATGCCAGGAACTCCAGAAGGCCCCTGGTCGGCCAGCTGTCAATTATGCCCCTGTCAGCACCGCAATTCCATTCTCCAGATGGGGGATTGACCTGGTCGGCCCCCTGCCCAGAGCCGCCGGGAATAACCGCTACATCATCGTCGCCGTCGACTACTTCACCAAGTGGGTCGAGGCGGAACCCCTGGCCAGCATCACGGGGGCCAGATGCCAAAGATTTGTTTACAAGAACATCATTACACGCTTTGGCGTCCCCCAGGAGATTATATCAGACAACGGCACCCAATTCGAGGCAGCCCCTTTCCAGGAGCTCCTCCGGGAGTTTGGGGTGAGGCACCGCTTCTCCTCCGTTGCCTATCCTCAGGGCAACGGGCAGGTCGAGAACGCCAACAGAACAATAATGGAGGGGCTGAAGAAGAACCTCCAGGCCGCCGGAGGTAGTTGGGTCGACGAGCTCCCCAACATCCTGTGGTGCTACAGAACCACGCCGAGGAGGGCGACAGGCGAAACACCTTTCGCCCTATGCTACGGCTTTGAGGCGAAGGCGCCCACGGAGGTAGCCATCCCCAGCCGGCGAGTGGAGCAATATGAGCCTGACACCAACGAAGAGAACATGAAGATTGACCTACACCTGGTTGATGAGAGGCGTGAGCAAGCTTACGTCCGAGCAGAGAACTACCGGCGTCAAGTGAAATCATACTATGACGCCAAGGTACGTTCCCGGGAATTTCAGGTGGAGGACTACGTCCTCCGCCGAAGGGAAGCAAGCCAGCCGACAGAGGGTGGCAAGCTAGCATTGAAGTACGAAGGGCCCTACATCGTCAGTGCCGTGGTCAAACCCGGCACCTACAAACTTAAACGACCGAATGGGTCCAATGTACCACGAACATGGAATGTACATCATCTGGTGAAGTTTTATCAGTAATCCGAAGGAGGTGTAGACGGCGAAGCCCTCACCCCTTAACGGGTTACTGATTGAACGCCACCCTCGGCCTCGAGTCACTTATGAATAAAATCATGTTCTGATTTTTTCTCTGGAATTTAAAGTAAAAACATTAGCAGGTGCCCTCGTCGGCCACCTTAGAGCGAAAGGCTCAGGTCTGGCCGACATGGCCCCTTGCATTTGCAGCCTACGAGCGACAAGCTCAGGCACTCCATTGTACTTTGTATCAGCGAAGGGCTCAGGCCTAGCTGAGAGAGCACATCGTCCTGGCCCCGTAAACTTAGAAGTGAAACACTTAGGTATGGCCGACGATGTCCCCAGGACGAGGGGCCCGCAAACGGCCCACGTCTTGAAACGGGAAGCTCACCGCGTCGTACACGCGCCAGATCGCAGGACGACAGGCCTGAAATCATGGCCGAGGTGACAAAATCCCAAAACTCAGGGATGGGCAACGACAGCCGTTGGAAACCGACCAAAAGTCTAGCCCGCGTCATAAATAGGCGACGGGACCCGCCCTGAGACCACGGACATTATAAACGAAGTCCGAACCGGCCGAAGGACGAGCACACCCTTCAGCCGAAGCCTGAAAGAAGGATACCCCCGAAACGAAAAAAAAAAACATACAAGGGAAAAAGAGGGAAGCCGACGGCCGCGCACACTTGCCGGCCTCGAGCAATGAAAAAATAAAATCCCCAAAATTCAGGCCCATTTCGGCCAAGTACATATCAGTTGAACACAAGTTTAGTACCACTGACAGGCAGCATGGACAACACGTCCACGCACCACGAGGGAACAATCAAGGCCGATACACACGCCTTTAAAAACCCTAACCACATCGGTTGGGTGACACGCGAGAGGTGACCTTCATCGGCCATGGACCTTTGAGGCACCAACGCTGGGTATGAACCAAGGCATCGCAATCCTGAGGATGACCGGAACGAAGCGGGCACCGCACCTCGGATGGCCGACGCAGGCACTGGAACCATAGCTAGCCGACGAATACAGGACCATCTCCTTGGACAAGCTATTTTTTGTCCAGCACCCTCATCGGCCACAAACCAGACCTCGGCCGGAAGTGGCACCGCGAAGAAGCAAACGCCTAACATTTATACTTAGGAAATTATCTAAGTACTAAAATGGAGAAACTCTAGCCGAAGCGGGTACCAGTATACTACAAAGCCGTTAGCCACCTACACCTTCACATGTGTACTTATGAAAAATTCAAAGTCCACGAGACTATGGTGAAGGTGCCCTTATCGGCCAGAACACAGGGATACAAGCCGCCAACGGCCATGGCCAGATGTATCCAAGGCCAGGACGATGAGGACGCCAACGCTAAAACAGAACGGACACTACGGTCAAGGCTACAAACGGAAGCACCTAAAAGGAATCCAAAACACTTAGGAAATTGTCTGAAAAAATCCTAAGTGTTATGATGACAAAGGAACACCGGTCAAGCCGACAAGGCCACCAGGCCGAAAGGAAAGCACCTAAGTGGATCCCAAAACACTTAGAAAATTTTTGAAAAATTCCTAAGTGTTATGAAACTACGTCCAAGCCGACGAAGCCACTAGGCCGTAAAGACGGGATCTACATGGACCCAAAAACACTTGGGGAATTTTTTCCCAAGTGTTATGACAGTAAATCAAAAAGGCATAGGCCGACCAGACTACTGGACGGGAAGGCCAACCTCACGGACGTAGCGGACACTCGCGGGTGACCCAAGTTATGACTTGATACTTAGACAATTTACAGAATTGAAATGACACAGCAAACAAGCACACAAAGGATTCAAGGCCGAACAGGACAGCAAAAATTTCCTCGATTGATAAAATTCATTACAATTGGAGGGCACTACGGCCATTACATAATTGGGCAAAAAAATGAAAAGCTAACTACAATAGGGACTAGCCGATCAAGCCTCCGGGGCTGGCTCTTCAATCTCGTCGGCCCCCTCCTCATCGGCCTCAGCTTCCTGGCCGGCAGCGGCGCTGGTGGCATCATCCAAGAAATCAAACTCGGTATAGTCCGGCTCGCCGAGGCCGGAGCTTTCTATGGGGGACTCCCGCTCCGACAGCGGAAGCGCGGCCTGCCCTTCGGGATCCTTCATCAGCTTTGGGAGCTTCAGGTTTCGTCTAGCCCATTCGGCCGTGTAATTCATGGCCTTCAACGCCCGGGATAGCCGCCGGTACAGGAGCCTTTGCATCCGCTCCTGCCCCAGGTTGTAGTAAACAGACATCTCCTGGCTGAAATACTCCCGGCCGGCAGGGGAGTTCATCCCCCAATTCTCCAGCCTGGCAGCCACCACCTCGTAACACCAGGGGAGCCTCTCATCGGCCTTCCACCCTTCGGCCAAGAACTTCTCAACAGCCTCATCCGCAGCCCTCACAACGGCGGCTTCGGCCTCAGCTTTCGCCTTGGCGGCCTCCTCGCTCCTGCGCTTCTCGGCCTCAAGCGCTCTACGGGACTCCTCAAGCTCCCTTCTGCTCTCTTCGAGCTTGACCAGGGCATCGTCCCTGGCCGCGACGGCCTCATCAGCCTTGGCCTGCAGCGCCTTGGCATCCTCCCGGAGCCGGTCAAGGCAAGCTACCGCCTCGTCGGCCGAGGCGGCCTTCTGCTCCAGCGCTTGCAGGCGGACTATCTCCCAGTACTGCCTCTTATGGTTTTCCATAAGCATGAAGGCACTCTGCATAAGAAAAACAAAGGTCAGGCAAAAACTCTACATAAGACGAAGAGAGACAAGAGTATAAGGACAATCACTTACTTGGACGAGAAGATCCATGCCGCCCTCATAGATCTTCGGGTCCTCGAGCTTCTTCAAATGAGCCCGATCTTTGGCCGGCATGGCCTTGGCAAGGACGACGTGGCCGGGGACGAGCTCATTAAACACGCCCCCGCCGACGGGGTACTCTATCACTTTCTGATAGGTAGCACCGGCAACCTCTTTGCCGGCCCTCTGCGTCCGTGGTTCCTGGACGAGAGGAAGCGCTGGGGCGGCACCATCAGCAACAGTAAGGTCCACGACGGGACCACCATCGCCCACGCTGGGGACGGTAAGCGTACCGGCCTCACTGGCAGGAGAAGGGGAAGGAGCCCTCTTCGTCTTCTTAGAGACGCTCACGCCGGCCTCGGTCAACTTCTTCTGGCCGTCAGTGGCCGGTCTCTTTTTCTTGGACGGGGCAGGCTTTGGGGCCGCATCTGCATTAGCCCCGCCCACACCGGCCGCGGCACGCCTGGCCGCTTCGGCCGCCTTAGCAGCAATCTCCTCGGCCGCTTTGGCCTTCGCAATCGCCATCATAGAACGGCGGTCCATGACAAAATCTACAAGGGAAAAGCACAAACAGATTAGTAAGGCAAAGGACAAAACGTAAAGACACAAAGCCGAAGAAGAATTACCATCGGCCTCAGCGGGAATGCCCAAAGGCGGGCCATCGGCCTCCTCAAAGTTGGTGGTCATCCTCGGCCAGAGTTGGAGGTCATCCTCCTTATCTCCATACAAGTGATATCTGAAGAAACCGAGGGCCGTCATCTTGTATTCAGTAACGTAATCTTTCACGCTCCTCGGCCCCCCTTCCAGGAAAGCCTCCACCTGAGCGTCCAGAATAGAGCTCTTCGGCGGGTCATGAAGGTTGAACCTCCCGGTGTGGCCGAGGGAGGGGAACTCGGTGCCACTCTCACCAATGGACACAAACACGAACTTGCTCTTCCACCCATGAATGGACGTAGGCAAATCCGTGAAGCTCCTCTTCCTCGGCAGCTGTTGAAGAGTGGCATAGGCCGCACAGTTCTTGTGGCTTCCTCGGCCAATCTGGTACAAGTTCATGAATAAGGCCGTGGTCGGCCTGTAGCCCAACTCCTCACACCGAAGCAAGAAGCCCACTATCAAGGAATAACTGTTCGGCGTCAGCAGGGCCGGAGGAAGCCCCACCATGTCCAGATACTCGGTGACGAAGGGGTGAAGGGGGAACCTCAGCCCCTTAGCAAAACTCATCGGGTATACTCCGAAGTATCCCGGTGGCGGAAGTAGAACATGGTCCGTCGGCCTGGGTGCCCTAACCCGCCCGAACGGCCCCACGTACATCTGGGCGACAAGATAGTCGGCCTCACTGCTCTCCGGCTTAATCAGGAATATGTTGGTAAGGTCCAAGTAGGAGAGACCCGGCCCATTCTTCGGCCTCCTCACTCTCTTCGGCTTCGATGCGCCCTTCACGGCAGATACCGGCTTCGGGCACGGAACGGCAGCAGAGGTGGACGCCCCGTCCACCGCTCGGGACGCACCTACGTCCTCACCCTCTGAAGAGGAGGCGGACTCCTCGTCCTCGATCTCCTCGTCCATTAGCTCTACGGATTTGTAGGGGCTCAAACGCTCTATCTCCTCTTCAAACTCCTCGAGCACCTCGTAGTCAAGGGACCTCGTGGAGGGCTGGTCGTCGTAGGGGTAGTAGTCCTCGTTCAAACTCTTCATTACTACTACGGGCTTAAGGAGAACTTACGATCTAAGGGTGTTTAGATGCCTAACACTAGATCAACTACCTACGGAACAAAATATGAAAAGTGAGGAAGATCGTGATGAACACTAACCTCAAACAATGAAGAACACGAAGAACAGGCTTGGGAGTTTCTCTCTCTAGAAAATCGGCCAGCACTTCGACAAATTCAGAATGCAAATGTGATTCTTCGTCGGAGGGGAAGGGGTATTTATAGACCCCCCCACCAACGGTCACTACACGTGGCACTCACCAAATGGCCACATCAACGGCCACCACTGGGGGGCCACCACGTCACCAACGGGCCAGGACCAACCCATATCAACGGCCCACTGGCAAATCAGACTCTACGGCCTACACACGCTCAACGGCTTTACAACTGCCAGCAAGCGCCCTCAACGTCCCATTTGCTCACCAATATCACAAATGCCAAACAATAAGAGGATGGCAACGGCCAAGTACGTAACGGCCACAGAACAAAGGGAACAAATAGCCCACAGCCTTCGGCTCCTCGTAATAACCCTTGATGATAACTCTCTACAAGCGATCTGCGCACAAGGGTTCTCCCACAGGGTTACCTTGGCCAGAAAATCGCCATGAGAGTTGGATTCAGGGGGACTACGGCGAGACCGCTTCGGCCAAGGACTCAGGCAACTCCTTCACCCCTCACTCTCTTCGGCCTGAAGCAGTGGGGGACTGGGGGACTACACCGGCCTCAACGAAACAAAGG